AACATTTCCTTCATTAGATTTATGCAAATGCGAATCAAGGAAAGAAGCGGTCTATGGCCAACCTTTGAGGATTAGAAGGCTAAGACACAAGAACTTTATGTTCTCTTTCAGGTGTCATATTAGCAATTTACACTGTTCTAAAACTTAAATTAAGGAGCCATATGAAGTAGACTTACAGTTCAATATTTAAAAATACTTTTAGGTTTTTGTGCAGCATAAGAGAATAGCATATACTTGGTTATTTGTACCAGTTTGGGAAATTTGGTCTGGAATAGCTCAAAATCATTATTATTCAACTGGTGACTAATAATTGAGTTTGGTGCATAATGTAGGTTTGGAAAAAAATAATGAAAATTTCTAAATGTGCCTCATAAATAAAAACATGTTGTCAACAGTAATTCTGAACAATATCAGTTATAAGTATTTTATATAATAAAAGCTATTTCCTTTTCAGTTTATAAGAACTCTATTTTATGCTCAAAATACATATCATTTTAAATTAAACAACTATTTGCTGTATCTCCTTGTGCCTTGTATACTACTAGAAACTGGGAATACAGCTTTGAACAAAACAGAAATAAGCCTTACCTTAATGAAGCAGACCAGTTAAGATGACCTATAGAGCATTCATGGGAAAAGGTAACTTGCATTTAGTCAGTATATATTTAAAATTAGGAACTATAGCAGAAGTTAACTTATTAATGTGGCAACAAACCCCATGGTACAGTTTTCCCCCAGGTGCATCTAATAAGTATTCATTGGGTAACTATTGCCTAGGTTTGATGAAACAGCGATGGAAAATATTTCTTGCCTTCATGAAACTTAGTTTAATTATAGTTCAGTTATAAATAGTGTATTATATATAAGTTAAATTTGTCATAATGGAGACTAATGTGGATTACAATTTACTTTAAACATAAAAAGATTCATGGCATATTTTACTCACTTTCATGCATTAATCTAGTAGGAAGTGTTTGAGACACAAACATATTTAAGTGTTTAATGGAATTTTTCAGTAATGAAATGATACTTTTTAACAGAATGTCATATCTAATGTATCTTACCATATTTAAGCATGACATTTATTAAGAAGAGGCAGCTCTGTTTTGTGAACTTGCAGGAAATATTTTTATATAATATGATAAGAAAACTCATAGCAGCTTTTTTCTACCAATTGATTAAATGACCAAGAATCTATTTATGTCTCTCTTAATTTTCTCGGATATATTTTCTACAGTGGAAGTGAAATACAATAGAATGAGATTACATTGAGCTCATTCACTTTTTCAACATCCTTTTTAATTTTGATTCTTTGATTCTTTGAGCTCTTCCAGGTTTTATGCATCTTTGAGTATCAGTCAAATTTATGCCATATTTGCCTATGCTTTTCAGAATTGGAAATTTTCTCTTTTGTTCTGGACTTAAAATTTAATTATTAGTTACTTTATTTCATGTTATTGGGAGGGAAAGTGTTCATATAGCAAGGGTGATTCCTTCTTATACACCTTTAACAAAACTTGTGAAAGCAACTCATCTTGTGTGTTTAGATAGAGCTAAATATAGGGAGATAGCTTACTGCTGTTTTATGGAATAAATATCTTACAAAGCATTTCTCTTTATTAACTCTATTCTTTAAAAATACAGTCCAATCTCCTTAGTTAACCAAGGCATAAGAGACATTAGACATCTCTTCCATCAAGTAAATGGTGTATATCTCTAAGAACTTTCTTACTACTCAGAATCTATTCCCTAAAATTTTCTTAGTCCAGAAATAAACCTAATAAAATATTTTCTCACCAAATTATTAACATTTTGAAATTTTTTAAAGTTATCAAATTAAAGAAAAATTTTAAATGTATAATTGCAATTGTAACATAATTTCTTGAGAAATATTTACATTATCAAGTTAATCAAAAGAGAATGAAAGATAAAGTGTACATTAAAACTCTTCTGTGAATGTCAATGCAAATATACATTCTTTGTGTAGTTTTTGACATTCAAAAGCAGAATAGGATGTATACCAAAAAGATAAAAGACTACTGGCCGGGGGGGATACACACATACACAAATAAATTATCTAATGTTAAATGTTAGAAATTTATAAACGTTCCAAACCAGAATTGCTAGCAGATGCTGGTTTTTGGATTTGTGATGCAAGAAGTATGATCTACATTGATCATGATTATATCATGATTATACCTTAATTTGAAATTTTTACATGTAAGATTATACTTAAAGCATTATCATCTCTTTTCCAAATCCCTTTTCCAAGTATAAGCCAAGCTTTTTCACAGAATATGTCTAAGAGACAAATGTCAGCAATGCTAACAGATTAATATTGTTGAAGAAAGGGATTTGATAAGATTAGTATTCAGTATAATATAATTTATTTTAAATTTTTTGATAGGATGTTGGAGATGGATCCTGTGTTTCTTCAGCATGAACAATTTGAATTAAAATGTGACTCCTGAAAAGTACAGATATTTCATAATGTTTGAGCTATTACCTTTCTCTTTATGTTTTTTAAAAGTAAAATGTTTCCAAATGTAGACTGAAAAATAGCCATCATTTCCTGGATAGCAGTCAGGATCTCCTTTCTTTATCATCTAATGAAGAATTATTCCTAGAGCTGGAGAGCATCACCTAATGTCTCATGAGAAAGCTATTAGTATGAGATCGTCACACTTCTTAGATGGAAGCTTAATGCCAACATTAATGTAGAAATCCATTTTCACAATTTTCTTTAGGTTTTACATCTCCCGTCTGCTTTGATGAAAGTTGTATGGTTAGGTCATGAAAAATAATGAACTGAGTTTTAGAAGTAGAAAGATGATCTAATTTCTTTTTGTTTCTTTTTTTCACCTCTCCTGAGAAAATGGAAGCAATAGTCAGTGAAAGGATTGATGATGAGAACAGGTCTGATTTTAAATGTGGAAAGCTCTACAAGATCAACATTAATCTCGTGGGTTTCAAACATGCAATGTTGGAAGACACTTTGGATGTGCCCACCAATCTTGCTTCCACAAGCACTCATCTGTAGTGCCAGATATTCCATTCATTCTTTTATCTCCCTCTTTGTTTAAGATGACTTTTAAAAATTTGGCTTGGTGTACTACACAAATGAGATTATTTCATCTGTGCTACCATGGGAGACAGAGTTGGTTGCCTTCCCAATATTCATATCTCTCTCCTTCCTCACTAACACCCCTACTGTTTTTTTTTTTTTTTTTTTTTTTCTAATTGTGATATGGCCCTACAATGTTGCTTCCTCATCTCTTGTGAAATAGTCATAGTACATTGTTCTGGCCAATAAAATGCAGATATACTCCTTAAAAAGAGCATCTTTTCCCAATATAGAATGTCAGAATTTCACTAGGAGAAAATCTCTTCTGTCTTCATCCTGCTTTCACTTCAAATCAGATATCTTTAACACAGCAGCCATTTTGTGCCTAGAATGAATAAAACCAACATGCAGGGTGGCAGAGCAGGAAGTCGGCAGCAGGGAGTAGCTAAACTAATATCTACAATCACCACCTTAAGGTTTCTTACTCTGTAAGAAAATATAATCCGTATCTGTATAACCTACAGTTTTCTTTTTAAGTTGAAACTGACCACTCAATGGACTGATGCATGATTATTCTAAAATATATTTTCTTGCACAAGAAGGAGGAAATGAGGTAAATATTAGGCAGGAAGATGCTATTCATATTTACAGACAATTTTGTAAAGAAATAAGAAAATTTTCAGAGGGAATGTTTTACTTTTTTTCTGGATGACTTTAGCTATCTGGAAAATAATTCATGTATGTGATAATCAGACATTATTCACAGGGGACAAGTTAATTAAGCCCAGTTTTGAAATAATCAAGTAGAACTTGGCTTTAGTGTATTTTATCCAATGGTTATGCCCATGTTCCAAAGTATCATAGAGTTTTTCTTTTCTTTTTTTTTTTTTTTTTTTTTTTTTTAGTTGCAGATGGACACAATACATATATTTTTATTCATGTATTTTATTTTTTTAAAGAGAGAGAGAGAGAATCTTTTTTGTAGATGGACACAACACAATGCCTTTATTTTTATGTGGTGCTGAGAATCGAACCTGGATCACACCCATGCTAGTCGAGTGCTCTACCGCTGAGCCACAATCCCAGCTCTATTCATTTATTTTTATGTGGTGCTACAAATTGAACGCAGTGCCTCACATGTGCTAGGCAAATGCTCTATCACTGAGCTATAATCCCAGCCCAATATCAAAGAGTTTTTTTTAGCAGATATTGCTTTATGTTATTCCTAATGAATAATTAACAATTCTGTAAACTCAGTTTGAGATGATAAAGAGCATAGTTGTGATAGAAGCATTGATTTTAACTTCCATGTCAGACTAATTACTTACCAACTGACTCCAGGCAATGTCATATTTACTGAAAAAGCCTTTTGGAACAAACATTTAATGATTTGCATAAAAAGTCTTGAGATGGTTCACATTCTATGGCATTGGTATAGCATTTTGTGGACATTTATTTTAAAGACTAAACTGACATAAACTTTCACATGATAAGACAAGAAAGTTTCAATTCAATAATTGGTGTTTAATTTGTACTCTGGAATATTTATTATATTCTCATTGAAATAATAATAAATTGCCACTCATTGTTTACTATATAATATTAAACCAAACTAGCAGATTGTGAAATATTATAGACAATACTAGTCCAATTGCAGGGAGCAGAAAATTAGGGAAGAAATTAATAATATATATGTCAACATGTTGAAAGTGTTTCTCTTTCAATGTTAGGATTCAATGGTTATTGTTTTCCTCTGCACTTTTCAATCTTTTCACATTTCTGCAAATGTGATGCAGTGAAACATATTAAGCTATCTTGGTGATTAACAGTGTAGCTCTAATTCAGCTTTGAAAATAATGTGAGTAAACTATATTTATTGACTACTTTTTCATCAACAAGCAATTTACCAACAAATTTGTTTGTTTATTCACTGCAGAAATTCTAAATGGTGGAGTCTACGTAGACCAGAACAAATTTCTTTGTTACGCAGACACCATTCATTGGCAAGATATTGTTAGAAATCCATGGCCTTCCAATTTGACTCTCGTATCAACAAACGGAAGCTCAGGATGTGAGTACCATTATCTCTTTTATGTCTCAAAATGTTCTTTTATGTCATGTGAAAATGATCAACTTATTTTTATCATGCCATTAATAATATTTTGAACTTGGATTGCATTGATTGAAATATTCATTTATATATCACAGAACAAATGGCCACCCAACCTTTTAATTCTAATTTTAAAAATCTTCTATTGTGGATTGATGGTTTCCCTTCACAAATTCTCATTCTCTTACGATGGTTCCTTATTGCCCAATCTGAAACACTGAATCTTATTTCCAGTGTCCAAACATGGGCGTCATTGTCCACAAACTTAAGGCTAATGTCTAACTACTGCTTCAACTTTTATGACTCTCCCTACTGAGCAAAAGATAGTAGAACAAAAATTTACCTTCCTATTTACTATATGTTTTTTGAACAAAATTAAAAATTAGAAAAATAAAAACTAGTGAATATTTAGAATTTCTAAGCCATCATTTATCCCTAAAGCCGTCATGTTAATATTTTATGATAATTTCACACAGTCTAAATATAGATATAAATAGTTTTTATCTAAAAGAAATGTATTTACATTCTGGGTTTTGTCTTTAGATTAATAAATTTTCTTATTCCTCATTTGAAAATGTATATTGTTTAGACCACAGAGGATTTATCAGATTTAAACTATATAATAAGGCTAAATCATAGGTAAGTAACATTTGAACTGTCATTAAAACCTTTGAAAATTATTCTCTTTGAAATCTATTTCATTTTCATAATGTAGACTGTTGTTCACACATTTATTATTACTGACATTTGAATGAGAACAGAAACTTTATCAAGAAATAACCTGGGTTTTAAATTTCTCAGCTATTATTATATATTCCCCACCTGAAATTATAACTGTCTCCACATAGTTCAATAATTATTTGCCATACTACTGATTCTGTTATGATGCTTTTGCAGGGAATCAGACTCCAAGGGACAATTATTAAATTTTATGATAGGCCTAATAATATAATGTGGAAATATGAATATAGTTGATCAAAACTGACAGCTCTGTTTTTAATAAATGGCTAAAACCTTTTCTGAAAAAGTAGAGTAACATAATTTTCTTGTCACCTTTAATCAGAAATTTGTATAAGATTCTGTCTTTACAGTATTCAAGTTCCCGACTATGTAAAATACATGTGAATAAAAAATTGAATCTCCTTGCACTAACAATGCAAATGATGCACTTCAGGAAGGGCTTCTGTTTTCAGTCTGCTCATACTATGGTAGGCATTATATTGGAGAGGGAGATGAGCATAAGGTTTTGATAAGAGGAAAGGTCCATGGACTCCTCTTTGTTCATCAGAATGACTTGCCTGTAAGGCATGAATGAGATCAGGCAAGAATAAAGCTTGAGACAGAAGCCAAAAGGGAAGTGTGCCCACCAGCCTTACAGGATTTGGAGCAGGAAAGGTCTGAGGGGTTTACTGCACTTTCACAGATGGTATCTCTTTGTGTTGTTCTTTTTTGGGGGGCTAATTTGGATGGTTGTGCCTATAATTAGGCAGTTGTGGCTGCACTTGTTTTTGCATACAAATAATTGCAGGTGCAAAAATTATGAATGCAGAGTGAGTTCTTAACCAGTGGTCCTTTGCAAATTAATCACCAATTGTTACCAAAGTTTTATTGCTTACATAGTAGTTCTGTTTGCTGACACATCATATGTAATGCATGACACCATACTGATAGTAATGAATTAGCTATACTTTAAATATTGGCTTTATCCTGCTAAAGGAAATAAGCCATTCACAAAAAGGCAAATACTGTATAATTCCACTTACATGAAATATTTTGAGTAGTGAAACTTAAACAGAATGTAGAATGGTAATTTTTTTAGAGCCTGGAGGTAAGGGTAAATGTAGTGGCTCTTGAATGGATATATAGTTCCAGTTTTGCTAGATTAAAAAGTTCTTGAGATCAGTTGCATGACAGTATAACTTCTAGCATCAATGAACTATACACATAAAAATGATTGAGATGGCATTTTTTATGCTATCCTTTTTTAACTACAATTATGAGTAAATAGAAACATTACCCCATTGAAGTTCAAGATCTCTTAAATTAATAGGCACAACCCTTTTAGGAGTCATAGACCTCCTGGTTAGGAGCTTCTGTGCTTATTTTCTCTTCTTGCTTCCAATTCTGGTCAATTCACCTGAAAAAAAAAAAATTTGCATTTGTTAGATTTCCTCTGTCCAGTGAAATCTAACTATGACCCTGTCTAAAACATTGCCACTGTGATTAATACAAACAAACCCCAATGGCTTAGAGTTTTCAGCAAATTCCTGCCTATTATTCAACTCTATGGATTAAAATCACAGTTCCTTTGTGTTTTCCTTTGTCTAACCTTTGCCAGATAGTCATGCTTTAAGTCATTCATCAGGTGCCATCTCCTCTCAGAAGCATTCCTTTCTCCAGGCTAGATTAGGTATATTTTTTTTTTTCCTTGAGGCCCCTTAATGACCAAAGATAAAAACTGGCATTTGGTCTTGCATTTTGAAATGGAAACATCTTGTGAACAAGGCTGGATTCATCAATTTTTCTCTGTCATAGCACATATCAGATAGATAACATGTTTACTGAAGAAATCAATAAATGAAAGAAATAAGTTCATATTTTAATTCATTGGTATTGTAGTTACAGAATACTTAAGACGGTTCATTTATGAGGGATAATTTTAGAGGCTGAGAAGTCCATCTGCTAAAGGCTAGTCTCAGCTCCAAAATGGTCCCAGAAATGCCCCCATCATAGAGAAGGGAGGAGTGCTATTTCTCATAGGGCATATGGTAGCATTAATCCATGAGAGCAGAGCCCCTATCACCTTCTACCAGGCCCCACCTCCAAACAATGTTATTTTAGGGATTAAGTTTCATCATGAGCTTGGAGAAGGACAAAAATATTCAAACCATATCAGTTTATAAATAGGAAAGCTACATGAATCCATTTTTTATCCATCACATACATAAAAAAGAACGAGTCAGAAATAAATCCAGAGATGCTACAAAACTACTTTTGGTCTTTTTCAATAAATAGCAATATATATCTATGTACTTAATTTAATTTATATTGATATAAGCTACAAAGTTTCTATCATATATATATATATATATATATATATATTCTATTTATATTATAATCTATATATGTAATAATTATCAAGTGAAATATATGTGCTTACTTTTCCTTTGGCATTTAAAAAAGGGACATTAATGTGTTCTACTTGAGAATATCTTCAGATCATACAATTTTACCACAAAGAATTTGAGAATAGTTGAGTATTAAGCCATATTGCAAAGTATTTCTTTATATATGCTTTTTGTACAGAACTAATTGTTATACAAAAAAAAAAAAATTAAGAACAACCTGACTTTTTGTTGACTATTATTTGGAGTATAATTGAAACAATGAAGAAAACATTTGAAGTATCTACAAAAACAATTTGAAATTACACTATTTCTTCAAAAATATGTGATTTAGGAATAATAACCAAGTTGTATTTTCCAGAATTTACTTGATCCAAACTTCAGGAGAGTGAGGGAGATGAGTATATTTGTTTTAATTTTATATTTCCATAAATATGGCTTAATAAATAAACTAAACCTTGAAAGAGTAGTCATCATACAGTGAATGATGTTTCATTTACCTGGAACACTGTAACAACAACCTCTGTTACCAGGAGAATATCAAAAGGATGAAAATAAGTTGCCCTCTAAAAATTAAGCAAATGGAATTTATCAGAACATTCATATGGGAAAACAGACAATGATATTTCTCAATGGAGAATATTGTATAGTTAGGAGAATGGATTTGGGACCTAAACTGCCTCGTTTGAAACCTGACATTGCTGCTGACTTGCTCTTTGACCTTGGGAAAGACATTTGTGCTCCCAGTACCTCAATTTCCTCATCTATAGTGGGAGAAGGTCAAGAGCTGAGCTGAGGGCTGAGCTGCCAAACAATGGAGTGGTCAGCAATGAAGATTTTAACCCTTAATGTGATAGCATAGGCAAGAGGCTAAACCAAAGACACCACCTCCTCCTCCTGAGTCTTGTCCTCCAGAGGACATTTCAACCAAAGTGCAGGAGGAAGGCCTCTGTGAAAGTCCTTGATAAAGAGGCCATTGGAAAGGATCTCCTGCACAGGAATGTGGCTCTGTATGAGAATGTGGCTGGTCATGGACCCCAGAATCCTTGTCTTCAACTCCCTTTAGAGAGCAAGATACACTGCGTGTGCACCAAGTCTGGTTAACATGGGGAGGGAAATTTTTCCCAGGAGGCCCACCAGAATAAGTCTTGGCCGTTCCCAGCCTCAAAAGTCAATGCTTTGGGGCAGGAGCTTTTATAGCCACTTCATAGTGTTGTAAGGAGCAATACAATGAGTTAATACGTGTGAAAGTCAGAGACTGGTTTCTTACAGTAAAGGGGTAAAAGGCCTTCTGATTATTTTATATTCTTATGAATTGACCACATATAAACAGAAATGTTGTTAGAATATAACAATTTTGTTTCTAATACATATTTATTAATTTACATTGTATGTTTCTGACTTAGGAGCTTTGGTAACTAGAAAATGGTATCTCATAGCTTTATCTCACCAATGCATACAGAGGAACATACCTTAGATGTTCCAGGTTCCACAGGCCTTTTATCTGGATTCCATGGAATGCACCACACATCTAAACTGCTTTCTCAAGCCAAATACCAACCAATGACTAAGATGGGATGGGGAATTGGCATATTCATATTCACAAGCACTATTTCAGGACTGATCATTTGTTTAAAACAGACATTCTGCCCACATTAAAATCATTGACTTTCAAAAATGTGCTTTTATTTTAATAACTTGAACATATGTTAAACTTGCCCCATCCTAACTAATCTAAAATTGAACTTTTGTTACTCCTTCAATATTAAAATATTTACATAAACAGAAATACTTTTCTAAGTTTGGACTTCTGTAGTAAAGTTTTTAAAAAATAGC